CACCCATTATCTTGTTTATTGCTGGTTGCATATCACTGTAGTCTTTGTACTACTATGTACTTAAACAGGAAGTATTCCACGTTCTGTATGTACATATATATTTGTTGTCCTAACTACAGATGAGTGCATCCATTTCAATTCCTCTCAGGTTCTAATTCTTCCTATCTTAAATTCAGCTCTCCTCATTTGATTAAAAAAAAAAGTCCTAATGAAAATTCACCAGCATTTTAGTGTGAATTTTTCCTAATTCACATTTTTGTATTCAACTTTGCCTAATATATTCACTTTTGCAAAGCAATTTCTTTAATATAATGTATTTTTGTAAGTTATTCTCACTAATACATGCACTTTTATACACACATTACCCTAGTATATGCTTGTTTGTACACATTTGTCCACTGGAGAACTGCGTTTGTAAAAAATTGTGAATTTCAAAGGCTGGCTGTTGTTCAGTTTGCATATTGTTCCAGAAAGTGAGAATTATGTAGGCTTGCCTTTAAATGAGAACTGAATAAAATTGCTCCCCGTATCCCCTTGGCTGCTTGCAGATATATCCACATGAAGAATATAATAGGAGTTCAAGGAGACTATGCTGAAGAAAGTATATTCAGGACATTTTGTGCATACATTATTTTAAAGCAGAGAGAGCAAGGGGCAAATGTTCAGTTGCAAAGTACAGCTAAACAAAGATAGCATTATAACGTGTGTTTGTTTCTCAAGGTAATGGTGCCAGGACTCATGTTTGGCTTCAATCCTCTTAAGGAATATGTGAGAAGAAATTCCTTTCTAGTATAGACATAATTTCTGTGCTCAAATATCGCTGCCAAGATTAATGTGAACCCTTGGCTCAAGCTAGCATAAAAGCACTTCAGCCAAATAGCTATGCAAGCCAACATGGTTTTTTTTTATGTGTGTGTGTAATAATAGATTTTGGATGAAACATTTGGTCTAGGCCTGGCTGAATGCAGGTGTAGGTTATAAAAAAAGTAGCCAAGATGAAGCTGCCAACTATGATGCTTTGTTACTCATGAAACTCAAAGGAAACACTAATGGACTGGCAATATAAATCAGTTGCAGTTGACTATGATAGATAGTCTCACTGCTCTAAAACAACAGCTCTGGGTCAATGGCTTGGTCTCAAGAACCCACCATATTCTGATACTCTCTTTGGTTCATTGCAAAAATTTCTCAAATTGCTATGCCATAGTATATCATAGATAGTGTAGGCCTAGTACCTGTTAAATTTAGGCTTGGTGGGGCTTATTTCCTTTTTCTTCTCATTTCAAAACAAGCACTAGGGCATGCCACTGTGATCCAATCTTTATTGGTCAAGCAAGGAATACAGGTATTATCCAAATACTAAGAAAAGTGGAAAATCTCAATAAGATTAGGCAATGGAGGCAGGGCAGTAAACCAAGCAGGGCTCTGTATCACATGATCAGCTTCTAAAAACCACTGTAGCCATGGGAAACAGCTGCAAATTGAGCTATTTTTCTACCTTTCTTTTCCAAATTTTAGGTGCAGTTCTCCTAACACACATTTAGAGACATCATGTACATTCTCAGATAATCAGAGGATGTAAGCCAGGGTTGGCCCACACACAAAGCCAAGTGAGGCAACCCCCTCAGGTGGCAGGAACCACAGGAGCAGCAGATCCTGATGTATAGATTTAATCCCCTGCTTGTTCCAGATGTAGACTGTCACTAACCCCTTCTTCCCTAGCAGTGAGGACAGCACCATTTTTGTGGTTCGCCTCAGGTGGCAAAATGTCTTGGGCCGGCCCTGATGTAAGCACATCTATTGAAGAAGAAGAAGAAGAAGAAGAAGAAGAGGAGGAGTTTGGATTTGATATCCCGCCTTTCACTCCCTTTAAGGAGTCTCAAAGCGGCTAACATTCTCCTTTCCCTTCCTCCCCCACAACAAACACTCTGTGAGGTGAGTGGGGCTGAGAGACTTCAAAGAAGTGTGACTGGCCCAAGGTCACCCAGCAGCTGAATGTGGAGGAGCGGAGACGCGAACCCGGTTCCCCAGATTACGAGACTACCGCTCTTAACCACTACACCACACTGGTACCCTTGGAGGGGCATGAGGCTTTAGGTTTATGAAACATCTTTAAGGATTCTTGTGGGAATCTCCCATATGTTCATGTGCATCATTATGGCAAATGTTAGGTGACCACAGCAAACAGCACTTTGAGCTCTCCTGAATACCCCCATTCAGGGGTCTGCAATTATTTTCTTGGGTTGTACTGCCGTTCATGCAGATTTCTGTGAAACATCTGCATCTATAAATAACTGCTGCTCTCCTACAATACCTGTCTTTGCTTCTACCTCTCAATAGCTTAAGTGAGGCAGATAAATACATATCGAGTTCTGCAATGCTAATGGATTAAAATATGATCATTATATTTTTTTATTAGTCAGCAAATGGGACTGTTGCACTGATGTTATAATATTGGCAAAGAGCTCCTAATTGGTCAACTGTGCTAATTTTGTACAGTGAATTCCACCCTACCTCTTTACCAAGTCTCACGAGCAGATAAATATATTTCACATTGTTAATTAGAGGCCGCGAACTCAAAATCTGATCATCTAAGCATGTAAATACTTGATGGGCCTCTTGTCTCTAGTCTGGAGACTGAAAGATAGCATGGCTTGCATAAATAAAATGTTCACCACGGCAACAGCAATGCTCTGCTGAATAACTTAATTGCTCTTTTTGTTTATTTTTTAAAAAGAGAAACAAAAAAAATGGAAAGGAGAAAAAGAATCACATACCATCTGCCTGCCATATATAACCTGTTTGGCATGGTGCATATTTATTTGTCCTGCTCTTCATGTCCTTTAATAACTATGTATTGATTGAAATTGCAATGGGGAACAAGTCATATTGCAACTGCTCAGATCTCTGGCTCTTGGGAAACTATCATATTAACCTGTTCCATGTTCAAAGATTTCCTTTCAAAATCAATTGGAAATATTCCCTTGACAAATTCATAGCCTCCAAGCTTAAGCACTTGGACCTGTAAATATATCCAAGGACAATGAATATTGAGTTCATTGTATGTTTTATATGCACTGACTTCTTGTTACAAATCTTTATTTACTGTAAATCATTTTGAGACATTTTATAGTAAGATGTCTGCAAGATGAAGAGATAAATAATATGAGAAGAATACATTTGGATTTTAGTTAGCTATTTTGTCAAAACCAAAAATCAATTTTTGTATTCATCAAGTATTTAAAAAACGTAAACATCATCTCTGATAGTGACTCAGGTTTAAACAATACATTTTAAACTCTTTAGTTTTATAGCTATGCCCATGTCACAAAGTTCCCTAGTGTAAAATAATGAACGTTTATTGGCATCCTTATTGGTTCTGCCCCCAACTCCAAAGTTGTAATCAAAGTATTCAACCATATTTCCTAACAATGAAGAATCAGGACCATATCTATATTGATTTCATAGGACTGAGTGTTTTAAACAAAACAATAAAGGCGAAGATATTCTAATCAGTGTTGTCAGTTGCTCTGTTTATATTTCCCATTTCGTTGTTGCAACTGGTGATTTCATACAAGAACATATTAACTACAGTGGTCTCCCTATAATTAGTTAATAGTGATTGTTTTACCAGTTTAGCAGATTGAATAGTTACAAAACTCTGTCTAGAAGGGAGGGGAGGCTAGAGTCAAAGCATTTCCTCATTCCCCCACACTCACATTTCATTTTCCTGCTAAACAGCTGATTTGCAGGATTTCAACACATATACATATATTTTAAAAGGCTACTTGTGCTGTTTGGAGTTTTAAAAAGTCATTTAGGAGATTTAAAAACAACAATTTAAGTTCATTTAAAACTGATTTTGTGTAAAATTGTCCATGTGTAAGTATCGGTGCACATAGATACAGGTTTAATAAATGAGAAGATGATACCCAATAATGGCCTGAGAACAGTGGTGATTGCATATGCAATGCAAAACACAGAATTCTGTATAGTGAAGTGAACTTTCTCTTACACAGGAGACTTAACATGTGCTAAAGGCTGCTGTGAGGTATGTTTTATACTTCCACTGGGGGGCAAACATGTTCTAGTCTTTAAAAAGGAAGAAGCCCTTCTTGTAAATGTCATTCATTTAGCATATACAGTGATGGACTTACATTCACTTGAGGAAAGGTTTTTATATCATGTAAGCTTTGGGATTTCCTTTCAATTTCTTACCAATCTAGATTTATTTATTTTTTAAAATCTACACCACAACTGGGCTTTCAGAGGAATCCCTGCTCTCCATGTTTTTGTGCTATAAAATGCAACTATTTGAATATAGCACAAGCCTGCATTTAAAAATAATGTATGCAGTCTTAAGGGGGAAAAATGATTCCCCTATGTAAACATTTATTTATTTATTCAGTCATTCATTTAAAGTGCTATGTTTCTGAGCCGAAAAGATAAAAAGACAGCTCACAGTAATAACAAAAATAGTATCAGAAATGAAATATTCTAACTAAAACAACAACTTAATAGAATGAAAACCCAGCTCTGCAATCCACAGAAAACATGAGACTAAGTAGTGGTATTTTTAAAACCCATCAGATTTTATTACTAGTGGATTGAGGGGGGGGGGGTGAGTTACTTAAGCCTCATTTAGAAATGGCTAATGAGGGGGCCAAATGTTCATCCTGTGGGAGAGCGTTCCACAAAGATGAGGCCACTGCTGAAAGGGCCCTGACTCTTGTGCCCACCAATCTGATTATGCATCATTTAATCTATTTAATACTTGCTGATTCCACTTTTGAATCTCCTCACAAAGCAGCAAACATAACATATTGTTGCATGCCACCCCAAACTCCAAGCGGTGCCTGTTGCCAGGGGTTCCAGGTGCTTACCCAAGGTATTTTCATTTGGAATAAGGTACGGAGGAGACTGAGGTGTCTTTATCCACAGAAGCTGGAAGGGAGCACAAAGGCCATCTAGTCCAGCCCCCTGCCATGCAGGAAACTTTCTGCCCAACATGGGGCTCGAACCTACGAACTGGAGGTTAAGAGTCTCATGCTCTACAGGCTGAGCTATCCAGCTGGCAAGTCATATGGTTCATTTACACATACATACAACCTGAGCCTACAATGGAGGGGTTGGCAGCTTTAATACTGCAAGAGGGCCTTGCTTTCCCCATAGCCACAGACTTGGATTCAAACAGAAATCAAGCATCACTCTGCCCCGCTGGCTTCCCAGCCTGCTGCTTCTAGCTTCTGTCACTCAACCCTCAACTCTCGCCTTTGTCTTTTTAACTATTAGCCAGTTGAGGAAGGGAACCCATCCATTTGCTGCCTAAGACAGAGCTACACCACCTTACCAGGAAGCGAGCTTGGCTATTCCAAGAATTTGAGTCCCTGCTTGAATTTTAACACTTGCTGGATCCAGGAGTTAGAAGGGTCTCTGCATACAGCCTACTCCACACAAATCGTAACAATATGATAACAATACAAAGCACAATTTTATGCTTTAATAGAAGAGTTTGGATTTGATATCCCGCCTTTCACTCCCTTTAAGGAGTCTCAAAGCGGCTAACATTCTCCTTTCCCTTCCTCCCCCACAACAAACACTCTGTGAGGTGAGTGAGGCTGAGAGTCTTCAGAGAAGTGTGACTAGCCCAAGGTCACCCAGCAGCTGCATGTGGAGGAGCGGAGACGCGAACCCGGTTCCCCAGATTACGAGACTACCGCTCTTAACCACTACACCACACTGGCTCTCTCACCTTGGATCCCTAAAAATAGCCAGCATATAAAAGAAATTCAGCTAACATGGCTACAAAGCACAATAGTACCAGCAAAACAAAACAGCAGCACCACAGCAACAGCAGCAGAACACTTAAAATCATTCAATAAAGGGGGCAGAGTACGGATATCAATGTGAATTTTTCCTTAGGGTAAAGCTATACACTACACAAGAGATCAGTGATTGTATTTTCTGGTATATATATTTAAGTGCAGTTGGGGTCTGGGTTCTACCAGTTTGCATAACTGAGGAAGGTAACCATTCTCTCCAATACCATTTTTGCGATCTAAAGCCCCTCTCTCAAATCTGTTATCAGACCCATGTGCGAAAAACAAGTCAATGTTCCCTTTGCAGCATCATCTCCCCAATCTAAATCGACGCACTCCATGCTACAATTAGCCTTGTGGGATGGGGAGCATTCTCAAGCAAAGGTAAAGAAAAATGGCTTTAGGAGAAACAGCTCTGTAACTTTACACTTCCCTCTTATTCTGAAGATCATCTTTCTGCGTTTCCTCTCCCTTAATGGGCATATTGTCAATTGAAACTCCCAGCAGAGCTTTAATGGCTTCTATGTTTCCGGAAATTAGCACTAGTGGTTTCAAATTAGTATCTATTTCTACAATCTGGAGCTGGAAATGCACTTGAGAAGTCTGAACTTTCCTGAGCCTTTTACTGTAAAACACCTGACTATAACATAGAATTTGCTGTCTGATTAACAGTAGTGAAATCACTAACCTTCTCTTTTCCTAGCCCCAGAAAATTCAAATCTGAAAATGGCATCGTGAAATGCCACGGGCAATAATCCTGGACTTGGAGATGACATGAGAGCAGAATGCACAACATAATATCCACAGTCCAAGTGGGGGCAATTGTTATATAAAGCAGGGGCTGGGGTTGATGGGAGTTGGGAATCTAACAATGTCTAGAGGGCCACAGGGTCCTCACCAGGAATTGTGAAAAGATTGGAAGACAACTTCAGTAGAATATTATTATTACTGCATCTCATAGAAAGAAGGGGAATGTAAATCCATCAGAAGTGCTACCTCTCCTTGTATTCCATAATGATAATTCCTTAGGAAAACCATATGTCTAGCCAGTTCAATGATTAAACATGCTGATTATTAACCCAACTCTAAAGGACCTGGCAGAACACAGGACTGGTTTAGAGAGACAATTAGAAAACCATAACAACATGAAGCTCAAATGTACTGGGGCATGCATCTCTTGACTCACAATATAATAATAATAATAATAATAATAATAATAATAATAATTATTTATTTTTACCCCACCCATCTGGCTGCGTTTCCCCAGCTACTCTGGGCGGCTCCCAATCAAGTGTTAAAAACAATACAGCATTAAATATTAAAAACTTCCCTGAACAGGGCTGCCTTCAGATGTCTTTTGAAGATAGGATAGCTGCTTATTTCCTTCACATCACAAAATTTGCTGCCCCTCAGAAGTCCCTAAGCTTTAACTGCAACAACTGAGCACCTCCACCAGGTGGTGTAAAATAATGTGGCAATCTATATATGGGTTGGTTAAAGATGTTATTTTCATTACCTGAGGACTTCATTAAGTATATTTATCTCACTATCTACTAGACATCTGCTTCCAATGAAAAAAGCAAAGAAAAATGATCTGTGACAGTTTTTACACCCTAATTGAATGGGGGGGGGGCAGTAATTGTACACAGGCTAAAGACATCAAGATAGCAGTAGAAAATATGTTGGATGAACAGAAAACAAATAGTATGGGAGTCATACAGTAACAGGAAAAGCCCTATGGTACAATTGCAATTCTCAGAATGGCTTGAAGTATATCTAAAATATTAATGTCAAGATTTTCACAGAGAATCATTTCACACATTATGCAGAGGCAAAACCAAGTGTACATTCAGCAGGGAACTGCAACTAATCACATATGATACATGTTTTTTTCAAATCTGTTTGTGCAGTCACATAAATGCAAAGTGGCCCAGAAAGACAGTATATTGCTTAAAATTCGTTGGGGTTTATTTTGACTTTGATTGGGGGCTATACACCCCCTTTGTAGGGCAGTTGACTCTCAGAGTGAAACTCTCAGTGGAACCTTACTTGCACCAAGGGGAGCAGACAGATCAGGGTGGCCATGTGTCCTGTTTAACAGATGACAATTCTCAATTCTCAGAAGCTTTCAGATGAGTCCTCTATTTCAGGGGTGGGGAACCTTGCTGGCACTTTGTGGACCAACTTTGACAGACGGGTGGGGTAATACACTTGTCTATCACGTGGCATCAAATCTCTTATGCCAACCATTTAAGGTTGACCCCACAATCCTGTCTGAACACAGGAGAGCTGGGACTCAATTCTCTTTGCAGCAGTCTCAACGCCCCTTTAAAGATCACTCCAGCAACCTTTGGAGGGGTGGGGGACAATGCTTCAAATAGTGCTGAAAAACATGTGCCTGTTTCTTTATCACTGTGCAACTGGGTGGTCCTTGTCAGAGTCAATGCCTGTATAAAGCAGACATTGCCTCTGGCAGGGATGCAGCAATGAAGAAAGAAAGAAAAACAAGAGTCTGCTTGCTTTCACTGCACATGCTGATTCTTTTTGGAGACTGAAGGGATCAGGGCAAGGTGGGTTTACATCACCCATTATGGCACCTGATGGACAGCTGGACATGGTGTGGGAAAAATGGGCTTGTGGGCCAAACTGGACTTTCCGGTGGGCTCAGATTGGCCCATGGGCTGTAGGTTTGAAGATTTGTGGGCTCTCTAGTCTGAGTCTGGTTTGAGAATAAGTAACCATAAAACAGAAGAGGAGCCTGAAGCTGCCAATTAGAAACACATGGCTAGCAGACTCAGCAGATATACAAATTCCCTTCCGTATTCTCTACTGTGGTAAGATTGCATTTTTATTTACAGCACTGCTGCACACCACTCCAATCTTCAAGTGGTGTGGAATTCCAGGGTTCCAGGCAGTGACCCAGGGTTCATGTTTCCTTTTGGAAATGAGGCACAGCTAGGACTGTGATGTCTTTATGATATATGGTTTATTTACACATATATACAACCTGAGCCTATGGTGGAAGTGTTCACAGTATCAACACCCTGAAAGCGTCTTGTTTCTCCCATAGGACTGGATTCAAACAGACATAAAACACTGCTCTGAAACGTTGCTCTCCATCACATTACTGCCAATTCTCACCTCTAAACTCAGGCTTTTGTCCTCTAAGAGTTGGAGGAGTGGCCCCACCCATTTGCTGTCTTTCCCTTTGCTCTCTCAATGGACCATCAAAGTCCCTCTTTTCTCTTAATGACCCATCACCTAGGCAATTACCTCATGAGCAAGCTAGCCTGCCTTGTTTTTTCAAAAACACTTACTGAATCCAGGGGTTAAGAAAACTTTATTAATTTCTAACACATACTGGATTAAGGAATTACAGTGGACGCTCGGGTTGCGAACATGATTCGTGCAGGATGCACATTCGCAACCCACGTCTGTGCACGCGCGGGTTGCAATTCAGCACTTCTGTGCATGCGCGACCACTGAAACCTGGAAGTAACCCGTTCCGGTACTTCTGAGTTTCGGCAGTCCGCAACCCGAAAAAACACAACCTGAAGCAGCTGTAACCTGAGGTATGACTGTATAGGTATCTGGCACCCACAAACTCATAACACTATAGTAATTGTTTATAAATTTGACATAAAAACAACCACATGCAAAGTAGTGTCCTAATTTATAGTTTTCTTTGGTGATGCAACTTATATTTTTTGGTCATGCACAACCCTCCAACAGATTATTTTGTGAACCCCTGCAATTTGAACAAAGTTGGATGGAGATAATTTCATGTATACGTATGCCAGTGCTTTTACTCTAGAAAAAAAGGTGCTGGTACTGCATACCCTTGAGTAAAGAAAAAGGACTGCTTATACCATATGGTCTGACATTGGGCTGCCTTTGGGAATCTCACCGAGCTCTTTCCTTCAGAGCACTTCCCATTTCAGTGCATAAATGAACCAGGCACTTTAGTTATGTCAGGAGGACCAGAACAAGTTAATAATTAAGTTGAACAGAATAGGCCGTGCAGCGGGCATGGCTGCTTCCCTATGCTGAAGGCACTGAATTCTCAGGACCCCTGCCTGCCAACTTTAGTTCTGTGAGGTAGCTGTCAGTTGAATACATCCTGAGGTCTGCTTCACATGGCCATTCAATGCTCTCAGGGACAAGTTTACCCACATATTTTCATGCATACATACTAAAGGTATCGGGCCAGTTGTTCATCTATCCAGGTATGCTTTTCTCTGAAAAACAGTCTTTCAC